CTCTAAACTCTGAAGATTATCAGTCCTGATCAGCAGCCAAAAAAGTCCAGCAACCAGCGGTGCACACGGAAGGCAACCGGCAATAATGCGTGTTGGCTAGGAAGAAAAGCCAAGAGCTGTATCAAAAAGGACTGAAGTCCATGGATGTTCAGAACCTAAAGCCTCTAGCAGGGCTGCCATTTGCTGATTCATGATTTCTATCTGAATCAAGCAAAGGTAGGCTCTGCCGACTGACAACATTTTTTGCACTGTGAATTCTCAAAAATATTTGCAATTATTTAAGATCAATTTTTATAAATTATGGGTATAACGGTTTTTTAAAATTTAAATTTCTCAAGTAAATACAATGTCGAGCATGCTTTTGTTTCTTGACCAGATTTCTTCTTCTGTCTGCCTGTAAATATTCTCCTCTTCCCTGTACATATCCTTTGTGCATTTACACATTACAAGGACTAGTTATCTTTTTGTATACAGGACCAAAACAGAACTTCAAGATGTAAATGAAAACAGGAAATGTCTTCAACATTTCACTGTTCCTGCCAAAATAATAATAGTCTATTATTTATCGCATTCTCTTGTGGACTGTATATAAACAGGCAATGATTCATGTTTCACTAGTGAGATACAATTTGTCAACTTCTGATCTATGGGGTTATTTGTATTTTTAAAATGTCAATATAGTCAGAGTTCAAATCCATGGTGAAGAATATATACTACAAATACTTTTAAGGTCTTTCTGCTGAAATCTTAATGTCTTCACTTATCATGAATTACTTTCTATGATTTTCATAATTTTAAATATTTTGAGTATCTGCTTTTACCTTCCTTGAATTTATACTTCACCTTTTCAATATGCATAATTTTTTTTATCTTTCTAGACTCACTCATTTTTACCAAATGATCTGTAACTTAAAATATTTTTTTAAGATTGCCATAGAAAGCCCCATTGTATTTAGCTTAGAACCTGCTGGGCTTAATTTTTTGTTTTCATTTTCATCTTTTCTGGAGATGTATTTTATAAACATCTCTTCTGAAGCTCATGGATAAATTTTTAATCCAAGTCTGAATGTATTAATTTAAATTGGAGTTTTTAGTTCACTTTCATTTATTGTGATTATCAGTATATTGGTTTACTATGTGATTCACGTATCTATGAAAATTAAATGAGTTGACATGTTAGGCATTCAGCAAAATGCCTAGAAAATATGTTTCAAATTTTAAGTATTATTGTTCTTACCATCTTTTCTTTTTCATTAATTAAGATTTATTAATAGGAATTTTTAGTTTTTACTAATTTGAAATTAGCTTTGTTTGGTTTGCAAACAGTAGTTTAGCAGGGTATAAAAATTTAGGTTGATGATTACTTACTGTTAATGCATTGAAGACAATATAACTATATTCTGTTATTTTAATCTTGAAATGTCTGGTATATTTCTAAAAAGTAGTTCCTTCTAGGTAATCTGCCTTCTTTATTACTTTCAAAATTTTTCTATTTAACTGCATGTGAAGCAATTATATAATGCTATATACTGGGTTTGGTTTTATGTTTATTTTATTTATGAACTTATTATGTTTCCCCATAAAATGTCTTCCAAAAATCCTGTGACATTTCACTTAATTATTTTATTCTATTTCATTCTTCATTGTTTCCTCCTAGTAACACTAAATATTCACATTCTACTCTATTTTACATCTCTGGAAATATCCTGGTTTATCTATCTTTCTGTTGTGCTTTATGATTTTATGCTCTCAGTTGATAAATTGTAACAGTTATATGTAATATTGATTTTTAGTAAAATTACAAGTTCAGTTTCTTAGTTTTAGAATTCTACTTATGTTGATTATGGCCATGTCTACCTGTAATTCCAGCTGCTTAGGAGGCAGAAGATTCCAGGCCAGCCTGGGGAACTTAGTAAGATCATTTCAAAATAAAAGATGAAGTGTAGAGGCTGTAACTCAATACTACAATTTCTACTCATCCCCATGACTGAAAACAAAGCTACTCACAATCTTAATGATGGAATTTATTCATGTGTTTTGTTACCCTTCTTTATTCACTTAAATATGCTTTCTTTTAACTTGACATATTAGTATAGTATTCAAAGTTCTTGAGGGTCCATTCTGCTTTCTTTTTGGATTATTCTTCTATTAATATTTTATAAATTTTATTTTACATCATTGTCTACAAAATATTATCTATGTATGTAAGTTTTCTATATTGTAGATGTAGTATGCTCTCAGCGCACTTGGACAGAATCTTGAAAGAACTAGGTATCTCAGAATTTAAAAACTACTTGAGGCTAAGATTTCAGTGGTAGAGTGATTGCCTGGCATGCAGGAGTCCTAAGTTTGATCCCCAGGGCCAAGTTAGTTGAAAGAGAAGCAAATGATAAAACCATGAGACATTTTACAGTCCTGCTTCACACTACTTCATTTTGCCAAGTAAGTCAGAGCTGACTAGAAATAGCAAGTACAGTTTGCCAAGCACTTTGACTCCTGTTGTTCGTTGGTATGGTATTGCTTTTCTAAAGCTCCATTGCCCATCTTGAAATTGAGCAATTTAGCTTATAGCTTGAGAACACGTGTGTTTAATGCAAAAAAGTGTTAATCTTATAGAAAAAATGCACAACTGGAAAATTAAGGTTAATGTTTATTTCTAGATGCAAACTACACTTGTTTAAAGAATGTCCTTGACACAGTAGTTAAGTACATATGTAAGTTTTACAGTTGCAATTTTGATTTTTGGAGTTTTTTTTAAATAAGGAAATGTTTATCTATTTAGAATTTAAGCTTCAAACAAGCAGACACTGTGATTTTATTTTATTTTTTTGCTTTAAATTCACATACTTAGGAAGTACTTGGCATATTAATAGGCATTAAGTAAATATTTGTTTAATGAATAAATAAATAAATGAGTGGACAAGATACATGAATATACTATGCCTTTTGTCTTGAAAATGACAAAATATACTTTGAAGGATCCATCAATCTCAGGAAATTTAAACAGTTGATCTTGACACATATATTACATCCCTGAAGAAATTTTTCCTTCAATTTACTTTAAGTTTGAATTACCATCCTCTAAGTAATGCAGGCTTTTTTCAGGGTAGACTTACATACTTAAAGCTTTTTATCGATAATTGTTTTATTCTGTCTTTTTTGGATAATCTTGCTATTTAAATAATCTTAATGCCATTTATTTATTCTAACATAAAAATATCAGAATCTTCATATTTGATTGAAAATTGACTAAATTCTTTTAGTTGCTCTTTAAAAACCTTAATAGAGCTTTTCAATAGAGATGGAATTATTCTGTTCTTATATTTCTTTTAGAGCTAAGTGACTATCATTGAAGGCTTTTTAAATGCAATTTGCAAAGTACACTAAAGTATTGGGCATATGTTTAAAGTAGTTTAAGTCAGTTTGAATAAGGTTAGTTGTTATTTTTCTTTCAGATGCTAATATGCTCTGAAATTTCATAGATGGTCAAGGAAATGCTATATAAGAAGTTTTTCACCTATACAGCCAATAGAGTTAGATAGAAAGTAGTCAGAAGGACTGGTAAAGTCATTTGCTGCTTTTCGTATAGAAATTACACAGAATAAGACAAATAATTTCGCTTTTTTCTCATTCACTTCTACCCTGGCAGCAAAGCAAGACAAGAATCACTGCTAGAAACTTCAATCTGCAATACCTCAACTGTGTATTCATTTCTCATATCTTTTCATTTCAACTATATCTTTAATTCAAATTGATTTTCACTTGTAAATCCTTTTAATGTTATAAAGTGATATTTATTTTATTTATCTTTTATTTTAAATATTGGAAGATAGGCCAGGCATGGTGGCTCATGCATATAATCCCAGTACTCAGGAGGCTTAGGCAGGAAGGTTGCTGTGAGTTCAAGTCCAGCCTAGGGTACAAAATGAGTCAAGGCCAGCCTGAAGTGTGTAGCAAAACTCTGTCTCAAAAAGATAAGAAAACAATATTGGAAGAGAGTGAATTTAGGTATCATGAAATGTGCTCAGGGTCCTACAAAAGGAGAACACCATGATTGAAGTAGAGTCACATGATTAGCACAGGTCAGGCTCACAAACAGGAAGTAAGTGAAAGATGAGTGGGTTGATGGGTGGACAGTGAGAACAGTAGATGTTACAAAAAACATTTCGAGACTGTTCTATTTTCATGGTGTTTCTGAGCCAACCTTCCCATCACTTGATTCCTGAGCTAATATTTCTGAATTCTGCAACAATAACACAGAAAGCCCAAAGGCTAAGTCCACACTGGCAACTACTTACTCTGCACTGCAGCATGAAGAGCTTCAATTCATTTACAGACTTTTACAAATTTCTTAACGTTTGTATTACCTGAATGTTCTTGTCATATAAAATATATTATCACAATTTCAACAGTAAATTTTTCATTGGTAAGTATGCTTCCTATTGTCTTCTTCCCATACTAGAGTTAACACGTGACATTAAACATTTTCCAAGAAATCCAAGTCTCATGCCTATTACCACTAAATAAGTTCTCTTTTTTATGTAGTTCAGGAATAAAACACAGGGCCTCCTAGAAGACAAATGCTTTATCACTGAGCTCCATTCTAAGCCCTCGCAAATTCTGATAATCACTTTAAGTAAAAGTTATTTTAATGCCATGTAGTTATTCTACTAAATCTCAGTGAGGATGTAATTTGATGTTTCTTCAAGAAAATTTTCAAAACTTAAAATGTTATCACATTTCAGTGAATTTATATATGGCTGTAAAACTTGATAATACAAAGCAAGAGTCTGAGATACTTAAAAACCAAACTGAACAAAATTTGATACCATGATATACTAAAATTAGTCTTAGATAACAAGTCAGCTGATAGAGATATACATGGAATATTCAGGGACTTTGGAAATAAAAGCATTGTTTCTCATTCACTGTTTGTAAAAATTTGTTCTGTGTAATTGTTAGGCCATGATCTCTATAATAAATTAGACTTATTTTTTAAATTAACTTTAAAAATAATTTAATAAAATCTTATTATGTAAGAATATTTCTTTTTCCGTGCATTGTAAGTGTTGTACGGCAGTTAGAACTTTGGAAATATAAATCACGACCAATATACTGATTAGGGGTTTAAAATAATTTACAAAATTAATTTAATAAAATGCCTAGAACAGTAACTAACAATTATTAACAAAACAACAATTAAGCTGTCTATATTTTCATGTAACAACACATTTAAGGCAAATACTGAATTAATATAAAAATAATATGCAATAAGCTAATATATCACACAAAGTACAATAAAAATTAATGTCCACATTGACGATCAAAAGTTATGACAATATGCCTTCTAAAAGCCTTCTGCAATTTTCTGGTTGTCAAAAAATTTTTCTATTTGTGTTGAGCACAGCTCACTGTGGCCTAATAAGATGTCAATTGGAATATCCAGCCTGTTTCTTAGAATAAAACATTCCATTTTTCCTACCATGCCAGGGAAAATAATTTAACATATATATTTTAACAAAAGGCTCATTTGAACTCCAAACTGTAGTCTGTGTGTATTTTAATTTTTAATATTAACTCTGATTCTTAAAGATATCTACAATTGACATTCTAATCCTCATGCTGTTCTGAAAAGGAACAATATGTTTATCCTGAAAGTGTTATTGTGATTCATCCTTAAAATGTAGTTTGTATGGAAAAGTTTCATCATTAAACTCCTACTACTTAAGTGCATATATATATATATATATATATATATATCAAGATTCATTTCACTATATTTCATAGAACAAGCACAGATATTGATATCAGACAAGCTATGTGTATACATTTAACTTTGCATTGTGACCCTGTTATTTAAAGGTTCTGTGCCTTAGTTCCTGGACTACAAATTGAAGACCAGCTCACAGTTTTCAAAGGGCACATGGAGTTTAGAAAGAGCCAGTGCACATGCCTAGCGCAGAGCTCAGAGCTGCGCAGAGTACTTCCAGTATGAATGCCTTTTTCTCTCTTCATCATTCCTGGCATATCTGGGTTAACTGGAGATTAGTGAGGAAATACGTTAGAAGTTACTGGAATAAATCAGATCCACTAAACGACTTATCTACATTGCAGGCAATAATTAATACATTTCCAAAGTAACATTCAATGAGATCAAAACATTGGTTTCAAAAATGTATTTACATTTTACAGATCATAATCAGGGAAAGATTTTTCAGGTCAACAATGAGAAAAAACAAATAAGCTGTGTCTGTGTGTAGAGTTTCATTTTGTAAAAACAAAAAAATATACTGATTTTATTAAATGTTCAGTGTTCATGGACAGGTAACAGAAACCAAGCTACTTCACATAGCGATACACATCAACATCAAAAAATATTAAAATAGAGATTCTCAGAAGGAATGTCTTTCTTTAATGGAATTGATAATACATAGTAGTTCCCATTATTTGTCCATGAAAGCTAAGAAAGGTGTTATTTCAAGGAGGGTTCTAGTAGGACTTGGCACATAAGTTTTAACTTTTTAAACAACCATTACTCTTCACTTTCCCGTAGGTTCACACACTCAGACAGCCTCACATATACTTACATTAATATTAAAAACATACACAGCTGTAGAGCAGAAAATTCACCCTAAAATTACATTTTCTAAAGCCAAAGCAGGTCACCATGTTTATGTCCAATGTCTCAGTCAGAGAAATGGGTTTTCCTCGTGGAGCTGCTGATTAAGATACACTCTTATGTGCAATATTTCAAAAGGTGTGTTCCTAGGAAGAACCATTTGATCATGTGCAAGAATTCTAAGGCAATATAAGTAGTTGTTCCACAGGAAATATATGTATCTGCCTCTGCAATGATATGCTGTTGACACATTTCACAAGTCTTGACTCTTCAAATGCTACCAGCCAGACATATAGAGACATTCATAGTCTACAGTTGGCTCAAAGGTCAAAAAATTGTTTAAAAATAAAAGTTTATGGAATAGCACCATAGGAAGTCTTTCTAAAAAAAAAAAATCCTTTTTTCAACATCGCATTTTTTGAACTGAATTTCAGGAAGCAAAAAAAAGAGAGATTTTTAAATTCTCACAAGGGTCACTTCCACTTCATCCCATGTTTTAAAAAATTACACTAACCATGACATCAACAATAACTATAACAATAAAACATCATCACCAAAAGAAAGACAATAGCAGCAGTAGTAATTTGAGTATGAATCATTCAGGGAGTTGTCCAGAAGGATCCTGCGCACACCTGTGAGAATTTTCTCATGAGGAAAATAAGACATCACAGAGTTCTTAGATTTGGTGTGAAAAGGCTGCACTTCCACAGAAAGAGCTGAATTTACCAATTAACTGGGCATTTTCCAATAATTAGATAAATGATGTCTAGAATTTAACTGCATTAATAGATGCTACTGATTCTTGGAATTGTCAAAGTGTAAGTACAGTGAAATGTTCTCAGTATCATTTGCATCTTAAAGAGGTTAAGCTGGCCTACAAGTGAAAATAATGAAGCTCAAATATTCCAGTTTCCAGACATTACACACACACACACACACACACACACACACACACACACGGCACAAACCACCCTACAAAGACTCCCACTTTACATCATCTTATAGGAATCTGGTTTACACTGTATCAGAGATACAAAGTCAAAGGAATTATGCTAAAGGTAAAGGGTTTTCCAATTTATGACCTGCAAGATCACTGTATGTCCCCAAATCTTGAAAAATCGTCAAAAGGAACATCCCACAGGGTAATGGCCCCAGAGTTGAACTGTCTGAATCATGAAGCATCTATTTCAAGCTGTGAACAAAAGCTGATGGAGTCTTTCTTGAAGCACAAGGCGCCCATCGGCCAGTTTTATTAATACATCAAGCACGGAATTCAAATATTCTTGTAATGCTGGTCACCATTAGCTGGAAACTCCTCTTTTAATACAATTAGTATAACTTTGATCCTACAGTTTTCTTTTGTTCAAACTCACTATATAAAACATTTGTGCTAATATCCTCATTTAAAAAAAATATGTCTTCTTTCCATTGTGCACATTCCTTTATGTTCTGATAGAGGTTCAGGTGTTATTTTTTGGTATGCATGCTTTCTGGATATCTTATGCTCTTGTATCTTATATAAAATCCTTTCTTGTTGATTGTGTCATCGGTGTGAAAATGAATTAAAACTGCATCCCCAATTGAATAGATTTCTTCTGCTGGCTGAAGAAAAAGAAAAAAAACAACAACAGAATGAATTACTTTTTCTTCAATGCGAAATATATTTGAGACTATTCTTCTTTCATATATAATTTAATCCTCCCAACAACCTCCAAAAGCAGATGTGATAGACTTCTTCCTTTCACAGATGAGGAATCTTCAGATTCAGAAAACAATCATATGTCTAGAGATCACATGATTAGTGCTGGAGCTGGGTTTTAAACATACATTGGTCTACTTCTAAGTTCTGAACACATTCTAGAATTTAGTATCTTTTCTGCTGCACCCTCAAGCCAGGCTCTTTTAATGTACTTCTCAATAAAGTGAGATTTGGAAATGATCACTAGAATAAATTTGTTTCAGAAGTTACTCTGAGGCAGAGTCACTTGAAGAACCTAAATTTTCCATTGTTGTTGCTGTATTATGTACTAAAACCAGTGTCTTGATGCTGAGCTACAACTTCAGCTTTTTCATTTTTGAGAAAAGTTGTCACTCAGTTGCCCAGGCTGACCTCTAACTTGGCAATTCTCCGAGCTCATCCTCTTTAGGTACTACTTCAATAGAGTTACTTAAATAGACATTGGTGGACTTCAAAAACTTGGGAATAATATCTTCACAACAAAACATGTATTCAAAAAACTACTTAATATTAATGCATTGAGTTGTGGGAAAAATCACTGAGAAAATGTTAAGGTCATCTTGCTCTTCTCTCTCAGATGACCTCCTCTGACCTGTTCATGACTCTTACCTGTATATCTCACACTGCAATAGAACACTAGTCCCCCAGCACTGGCCGAACCCAAACACTGGTGGCTAATCCTACCACTCTCACCAAAAGTATTTGTTGAGAAAGTAACATAAACCAGATGGTGTGCATATTCTTTGTTTTCTTCCTTGTATGTTTTCATTTAGAAAGGTGACAAAAATTGTTAAGGGTGTGTGTTCAAGTGCTTTGCTTTTAGGTTATAAGCTACTTAAATAATTATCTGATAATATACAGAACATGAAAAATCACAAAACACTGCATGTAGCAAATTCACTTGTTCATCTAAAATTATCAGGCAAATCCAATAGAAAGAGAGACGTGGGAAGGGTAGAAGAACCAAATCATATTTCATCAAGTCCTCATTTTAAAAAAGTAAGTTATTTTGAAAGATAGTATCAATTCATAAATGTGACACTTATCCAACATTAGTCACTGGGAATTTTACAGCATGCTAGGATATCCTTTGGGGAGTGTATTTACTTACCCCAGAACCACAGAATCGACCAAGCCCCACAGCTGTCGAATCAGCACCATCAAAGAGTTCAACATAGTCATAACCACAGTCGGCCTCTTCTTCCACTTCAAAAGCCTGGAAAGATAATTCCAGTCGAGAGCCTCGCTCTGATAGCAGCAGCCATTCACAGTCAACCTGTCCCGGGTAGTTGTTGTCACCGAACTGCGCATGTGAGTACAGATCCTTGGGTTTCGCTTCTGCTTTCAATCGACCACCACACTCTGGCCAGGAAAGAGAAACGAAACGAGTAAATTCAGTGAGCTTTCACAGATTCAATTTCAATTTCAATGTATCCTACCCATTCTCTCAGTTTGTTTCACTCTACCACCGGATGTGTACCCAGAATCAAAGCTCCGGATAGTGTAACGGTACTGAAAGCACAGGTGCCAGACACAGGCTGCCCGGAGTAGAACCCGACCTCCAGCACACACTGACTGTGACGCGGGGACACGGACATCACGGCTCTGGTCCTGTTTCCTCAAGGTAATGATAATGACAAAAACACTAGTAGGTTTTCAGCATTTAATAAGTGAAAATCAAATAATAACTCTAATTTTTTACCGTCCCAGCTAATAGTTTTTATTCTATAATAATTCTTCTCGTGGAGAAAAGATCAGGATCTTAACTTGATTTTAATCTTTGTAATTTCAAAACCCCAAATTCAAAGAAACAGTTTAAAAATCAATAAAATGTATAAAACGTGTGTGTGCATGTGGGTCCTACTTAGAACTTCCAATATGTATATATAACAGTGTTATATTTTTTGTTAAAAATAATTGATCAGTTATTACCTTATCACTAGAGGAAGCTATATCCAAGAAATAAATCAGTGAAGATAAAAACTTTTATGTACAATTTAGAGAATAAAAGTTTCAAAAAATGTTCTCAGGATCCCTGTATTGTCAAAGCCCCCAAAACTTCATAACTGGAGAGTTAGCAAAAGCAGTGAGAGCCTGTCCTTATGGGGGGTGATGAAGAATACAGTGAATGCTGCTGCTGAGTGCCGTCCAACGGAAAGGCAGGTCACCAAAACGTCACAGTGTGTCCCCCCACCTTATTCACAAGACCTGGTGCCCTGTGACTTTGGCTCTTTGCCCATGTCAAAATGCCCATGAGAAGTGATTCAGACCAGCAGAACAGAAGACACAAAAGACAACTTTCCACAACTGCTTCAGAGAGGGGATAAGTGCGTTCAACGCAAGAGGGAATATCTTGAGAGGTATTAATGGCAGAGTGTCCTGTATTGTAATAAATTTATTTTTATTTAAATTTTAGCCATTTTTTTCAATCACACCTCATGTACATGTGAGGGAACATGTTTCTGAAAATACGCCCAAAAGTTAAAATTCCAACAAACATTGGGCTTTTATTTCCCTAGTCTCACACTTCGGAAGCTAAGTATCCGCCCTTTGCTATCACAGTGCTTTTCTTATCCTACTAACTCCAAGAATTGACGTCCTCTCCCTGAAACAGCTGTTTATTTATTGGTGATTTGTGACATTCTAGTCAAATTGCATGTAATCTGAGCTCTATTCCTCTTTGCTCTTTGTCCCACAACTTCCTTTGTACTTTTTTATGGGTTTTTATTTGATTGTTTGTTTGTTTGTTTGTTTGTTTGTTTTTTGATGCTCTGAATTAACCCCGGCCTCCTACGTACTAAGCATTTGCTCTAGCACAGTGTAATGCCCTTCTGTACCTCCCAACTTCATTTCTGAAAATGAAGATCAAATATAGTATTCACGCCATAAGTTCTAGATGGGGAGCAAATGAAAAAGCTTATAAAGGGTTGAATGGTGCCTGGCACATAGTTAGAAGCCATAGTAAATGGTATTTAAGTAGTCATTATCACCGTTATTATTTTCCTGAGAGAACATTTAAATGCTATCGCGTGTAAGCTAGCATCCACTCAGGCACAAAATGAAAAGCCAGAAAAGTAGAAAATTTAAAATGCTATTAATCTGCTAGTAGAATAGAAAAATTATATTTTTGAAGGCAAGAAAAATATTTTGGGCAACATATTTCTGAAGTCAATATAGAAATATGTAAACCAGATTAAAGTCAGTCTGCAGCTCATAAAAATCTACTAGTTCTCTAAGTTTGATATAACTGAAGGCTTTGTTTTTGACTTTCAAAACACTGTCCGCATTTGTTCTTTTTTCAGTCCCCAGGCCAGGAGAAATTGAAGGGGCAGACCAGGAGATCTGGAGGAAGTCCTTGGTTTTGTGTGCCTGTTTCACAGTACAAGGTGGTGGGGAATCGAGACCAGGATCCGGGAGAGGAAATCCTCTGCCAGCCCCAGCTGGAACAAAAATCAAGGAAATGGTGGAGTGAGCAAAATAGGAAAAGAGATTTCACAATCTCTTTGAACATGAAAGTCACAGAAAGGTGATATGATTTGGCTTTATTGAAAACTGGCCTACTTTTTTAAAAAAGAAATGCCTTAAATGACATTGATAAGTCATTTTCAATGCTATAAAAATTCTTTTGTATTTGTCTGCTTCAGCTCACAGCCTCACTCCTGTACATCACCATCCCTACTAACAAGGCTGGCAATAACGTTCTAACCATGAGAAACAAAGAATTTAGCCTGCAGAATGAACTTTTCAAAGCTGAGCATTTGAATATTATGGGTGCAAGATGTGAGATTGTAAAAATACCCTGAGAGAAATACCATGAGCAAAAAAAAAAAGATGGCTAGCATGAGGGAAATTACTTTAGTGATTCTGAGAATCCCCATGGCTACTCAAACTCTGGTCAGTACAGCATTTAAGAGGTTCCTTTAAAGGGATGATTTTGAAGTTGAGTCAATATATTTTCAGAGAATGTCCCTATTCATTTACCAAGCCAGAAAAAAATCTGAAACCAGTTGTTCAGTATGTCAGCAGTACGATTTTTAAATTATTAGTTTGAAAGTAATTTAGAAACTTCCAGAACATCCCCCACAGAATTCTGGGAAATAGAAAATGGAATCCAATCAATAACAGTACCAGAAAGAGAAGCTCAGGGTGGTCTCTGTTTTAATTTGAAAGCACATGTTTGTTTATTCCTGTTGAAGCATAAAATTCGGGAAGAGGTCCTGTAATTTGACCTACAAATGCTTTAGTGGACATTCTAATTTCCTTGATGTTGATCAAAATAATTTTCTTTCCAAGTTGCACAATACTATGCTATTTGGTTTTTTAAATGTCAAGGACAAATAATATGATATCTTATATTACAGGAAAGACGTTCTAATAGACAATGTCATGTTTTTCAAAAATTGTTTTCTCTCCCTGTTTATCCCATTTTTCTGTTACGTCCATATCTTTTGAGAGAAAAAGGGACTTTTTTTAACTACAACATTTGTTTCTTTCAATTCATTTGTTTCTTTCAATTTCTAGCGTCTACACAACACTAGAGTAATGCCATTCATCATCTGATTAAGAAAAATTGATATTTAGTTTTGACGTAACTGTCAGAGGAAAGAAGGGCTCTTTCTAATAAAATCCATTTCCATAACTTGGATAGTATTAGTTGTGGAAAATAACCATAAAGCCATTTTTCAAATCATCTGGTTATAATGCTACAAGTTTTGTTGAAGAAAAAATAAAAAATTTGGACACCAAAATATAAATTTAAGCACATTAAAACGTATGCTCGAGGGCCCAACAGTAACTGCTACATCTATTCTAAAAGGCAGTAAGTAATGCTTGCACATAGGAAAAAGTTGACAGATGCAGTTTGCTTTTGGACGTCTTGTCAACAGACATAGAAAGATGAACTGAAAATCAAGTTTAACTTAGACTAAAGCTGTTAACAGACAGAAATTTCTTCTTATAAATTCCTACAAATTCTTGATTTATTCCTACAAATTATTAATACGTTATATTACCTATCCAAAGCAGCTGTCAAAAACATTGATGGAAGATTAGAATAGCTGAGCTAGTTAAGAAGAATGCTTTGAGGATGTGTGCACTGTAAGTGGTACCTAAGATCCTGTCAGCCTAGGTTGCACACAAAAAGTAACAGTATTAAAAAAAACTGCCTAGAAAATTCCAGTATGGCTGGATACATTAAAATAAACACATATAAATAATAGGAACAAAGAAACATATAACACGAAAATTTTGACAAGTGTCAATGACCAGATGTTGTGAAGCCAGCACTCTAATTCCAGCTGTTACTAACTTTTGTGCTACTTCAGTTCTCATGAAAATTTTTGGCCGAAGATTGCTCATGTCTGAAATGTCAAAGTCGGATTAAATATTATCCAGGCCTGTTTTGCTGAAAACAATGTGACTGGGATTGCTCAGTAAGTATTTGAATCAGCATGAATTGAACAGAGAATCGAAATGAGCCTCTTTGGATACATATTTTAAACAGAGGCTTTGCTTTGAAGCTGTATAAAACTGCTACAAGGAAGCTTTCAGTCCTTACCTGCTGTTCCAAGTCACAACTGATACAATATTTTTACCAGTTTCCTCCTAATTCAAAAGTTCTACATTGGGAAAATGTACTGCGATGGAAAGGATAGTTTTGAGGACAAAATTAGTATAAAACCTGAGCTTTCATGCTGTTTTATTTTTACAGTCATGCTTCTCTACTGCCTTTATCCTTGCCATACACAATAATTACATTCAACTTGGGGAATTGGTACATAAACATGTTACATCCCAATCATGTTAACTTTGACACTATTGCATAAACCTTTGGAAGTTAAGTAATCATTCAAATTTTCATTTCCAAAAATGAGGATGATAATCTCAATCTCATAGTTCCTGGGGGACTTCAGTGTATAAATAGGAGGTAAATAGGATGTGTGGGTAGAAGACACAAACTTTTAGAACTATAAGTAACTTTGATTTTATTATTTTCAGATGAGACAACTGAGATCCAATGAAATGGTCTTTTCCAAATTTCCTCCTAAATCACACTTCTACTGAGGAACCAGAGCTACTTACGTGCTATCATCATTTATTGCTAATGCTCACCTTACAAAGGGCATAAAGTAAAACTCTAGAAGTAGTTTTTGATAAAAATAAAAATTTGGAGACATAAGTTCTCACTACTATATAATCACTACTATTTCAAGAATTTTGTTTTTGACACCATATTTTCATACTGCATTCTTGAAAGCTGTGATAGCCAAGATATTTCCGTAAATGCCAAGAACTCTGTGCTACTACAAAATACTATTAAAGTACAGCAATAAGATTCAAGTTTTTCTGCCCTTTCAGTATTTATGGCATAGGGAATATACTTAAAGTTTAAGTGCCAAATACTGTATGTGAAAAATCTCATCAATACAGCATTTCTATAGTTTACAAAAGACTTTCTCACACTGCTACATTTGATAATAATGAGAAACAAGGTTCCGGTAAATATTAGTATAAACCATACTGATGTTCTGACAACATGTATCCACTTTCTCAGACTTTAAATCTACTGCTAACAATACAATATATGATGAAATATAATATTGGGCAATTAAATAGTTAAAACCCAGATTTATAAATCAAAATAAAACAATTAGCAGGATACAATGACAAATATCACTGATTTGAAATTATTTCATGGGTGAATTTTTGTACTATTGTGGTTTACACACCAAAATATATTTCTCCGTTACCAATCTTTTGTGGATTAGCAGTGCCGCTAGGTGGCAGTATAAGCTAAACAACTTCAGCGAGTAGCTACACATAAATTTTTTTTTTTTTTTTTTTTTCAAACTGAATGAAAAAAGGAAGGAATTCCTTAGAGGGCTTATGGAACACAAAATTAAACTGGCCACAAATTGTAAACAATTATATTCTCCATTTTTGCCAAAGAATGCTTATATTTTCCTAAGTTAAAGTTTATTCCCTAAAGACTCCTAGAATAGCTGAAATCTGTAAGGCACAAACTAGAATTATAATAGAAAAAAGATTATGTTGCATACCAAGTAAGACAGAAAAAAAAAATGAGTCACTGTGAAACAGAGTGATAAATCCAAAAATTATTTATAAAAGTAAATTACTGCAAAAGCTTGCAAACCAGGCAGGTTATTAGACAAATTATATGCATTGACCAACATATGCATTCCAACCTGTTAAAGGTAATACATTAGCCAACTGCTGAAAATATGAAATTCATTGTAGAACTATTTTGATAGATTTACTTGATCATATTTCATTGGTCACAAACTAAACTAAAAAATATTTATTTATTTATTTATTTTTGTCTGAATGTTTGACCTCTACAAAGATATTTAGGGGTAGAAAGCTGAGCAGTTCTGCAAGTTTTTCAGACAGTGCTTCAGTGAGATTTTACCTGTCAGGCTTGGATATTCATTTAAGATCCTGTTAATTAGGATCCTGTTAATTAGGAAATACACAAATACACCAGAAAAGAAACTGCCATGTTACACAAAAAACAGAAGCATGATCCCAGTTTGCTGACCTGTAGAATGTGTGGCCTGAAAGCCTTTTCTTTGAACAGATGCATCAGAAATAAACCGGACGAACATTTTATTTCCAGTAGCCACAAGGGGATCTGGTATCTTGTTACCACATAGTCGTCCGAGAATTGGTGATTTTTCTGTTTCTCCGTCAAATACTTCTAAATGATCATAAGCACATTCTTGATGTTGCTCAATCTCAAACTCACTGAAGGCCTATTTTAAAAAGGAATAGAAAAAAGTTTTTATAAGTCACAAATCACTCAAAATGAATTTTTTTTTTCCTTTGGGGCAGAAATGATACATATAACACTCAGGGCGCACAAATGACTTCATCCGCTCATAATGACGGAAGCAAGTAATGGCTTTGTATGGACTGTGGTTTGAACCTTGAATGCATCCTAAAAGCCCATGCTGGCTCTGAGGGTGACATTATTGGGAATTAGTGGACCCTTTAAGAAGTGGCCTGGGGGAGGTCCTAGGTCACTAGGGGCTGCCCTCAAAGGGGACTGAGGCAGCCCAGCCTCTACTTCTCTCACTCTTTTCCTTCCAGCCATGAAGTCAGCAATTTTAGTCCATCGTGTTCTCCTGCCATAACATGCTACCTTGCTATAAGCCATAAAGCAATGCAACCAGTTGATTGTCAATTAGAACCTCTAAAAGCCCAAAGAAATCTCTTATTATTAGTTGGTTATCTCTTATTATCTCAGGTACTTTGTTGTAGTAGAAGAAAACCATCTAAAACAAGGTGAAATTCTACTGTTCACCTATTGTGGCTAGCTATACTATTAATAATAGATTAATATAATTCAAGATTTAAACAATTAATAATAGCAAAAGGGTATTTAATGCTAAATTTAATCCAGAATATTCATCAGAAAATGTTAATCAATTATATTTTTAAAAAATAATTCCTTCTAGTTTTAATCATCATAAAGGAGTGAATATCATCCTATCTTTAGGCGCTTACACTCAGAAGAAAATTCCATAAATTAATTATTGTATTTTTATACAATCTAAGTGCAACAAATCTTCATAAAATAATTAAAACAAAAGGAAATCTTCAGTACTTACTTCTTTACTGATATCTTACAACCCATATTATTACAGAACACAAACATCAATATCTTATTAAGTTAGAATACTTTTAGGTTCTCTTTCAGTAATATTTTGCAATTGTTACTATCTGGTATCTTGGCAAGTTTGGTATGTTTTTCTGTTGCTTATGACATTTACAAATTTAACTGAACTTTGTAGTAACTTTGTGTATGAGTGTTAACAAATGCAAAATAAAACTAATGAAATATACTAATGAATATAGTAAATATACTAAAAATACTAAATATACTAAATACTAAATATAAAATACTAAAAATACTAAAAATACTAAATATACTAATAAAATATTTTCTTTAGTTGATTATTTAATTTAAAGAAAATTTAATTGAGATGCACTAAAAACAACATTTCCCAAAATTAGGAATTTCAGGTTACCTGCAATTACTAATTAGGTTCATAGTTTTCCCCTAGAGCAACCATAATTCACTGGAGAAAATTATAAGCAAAAAATAAAGCAAAAAATTATAAAGAAAAAAACAGAAAAAATACAAAATATGCTTTTAATTTTATTAATTTTGTTATAATGCCTAGAGTATAAGATACTCGTAAAACATTTGTTTACATGAACATTTTCTGTAATGCAATTTTATGAAGTGATCATAATTTTCTGTTTGATGAAGACATACAAAAATAACTCTCAGTGCTGGCCAGGATGTATATTCCACACCAAACCAGACCTCCTTCTATTGCTTCTGACTTCAGAGGAGCAAGAGAAAAAATAGAAGCAATTTATATTAGCTAGGGAGTAGGGGAAGCACATGAAGTTACTTCACAGAAACAAGAAGAGAAAAGGAAGAGCTGACCTTCCTTATGTCCCATCCCACTGCACCCCACTTGAGAGGTATAACAAATGTTATGACCGAGAAACATTACAATCATTATTTGCTATCATCGTTATGAGTAAAAGAAATGGTCCCTTCATTTGACAAAAGGCATAGGATAGTAACAAGTACAAAAAAACAAAAATAAAGATTGAACATAGCATAAAGAGTTTCCCTAGACATAGAAAGCAGTGTAGGGAAATAGGCTGGACAAGCAGACGTCCAGGGAGTTTATTTATCTGAAGTACAGCATGCAAAGCAGGTAATGACTGAACTTTGTCTTAGTTAAATACATTGGTCTCAGTAAAACTATGTTAGAGTAGACACAGCTTCTGGAATGAGGAACCTGAATGGACACGCAGACATCTGGAGAGGTCTGTCACTTCATTTACTTAACCAGCTAGCCCATGTTTGTGGTTATCTCAAGTATGAAAATGCTCTAGACGTGGCCAGTCAAAACTTCTGGTTTTATGCCTCTCTTGACATGGTCCTCAACCAGCTCCTATTACCGCTGTGTACACAATGCACATTCTTAAGGTCAGTTTGTAAGCAGTAAGAAACCACAAGAAAAAATGGGCTCAAACACACCCGGAGTTCTTTAAAACAAGACTCTCAATCACAAGAGTGAAAAACATTGCTTTGGGAAAACAACAATATCTGAAAACCAAAGTATGTCATGTATTCTTTTCTTTTGCTGGTGAATTACGGCCATTCATCTAGAAATATGAAGAGCATGGAAACCAACTTATGTAGAAGAGAATATTCTAAGAAAGATGGGGATAACACAATTTTAAAATATATCCTATAAGTAATTGCTGAACATGGACTAGAATTTACAGGCCACATCTGTATAGTCCGTTCACTGGTCCTTTGAAAACTAAGTGAATGTGATAAATAAGTGACTCTTTCACTCCCACTGAAATGCAGAGGTAAATAATAACATCTGCTTAGCAGAATGGAGCAACACCACACAAAGTGGCTCTGAGCGAGTGGGTGGTGGGCCATGCTGACAGCTGGTCCAGAGCCAGATTGTTCCAGCTTGCTATCGAGTTACTAGTGGAATGAGACTGAGTCCACAAGAATTAAATGAGTCAAAGATTCCGTAGCTGACATGTACTCGAATGATACGAACAACTCTCATTCATTAAGATATTGATGAATTGGAAGAGAAAACAGTTTGTTAGGTCAACTGCAAAAACAGAGCGCTTTTTTTCCAGAAACTAACCTGACCTGAAGATCCACCACGCACAATAAAAGCCATGACTGTCCTGTATACTGGGGTCGCATAAATGTGGGCCATATACTACAGTACACTCAATAGAGAAACCTCTGTACGTATTGATTTTACTTCAATAAAGAGTATTTATAAGTCACAAAAAGTATTATAGGAGCCCTTGGAAAACTGGAATAGCTTTGAAAGTATCTTTCAGAGCTCACAGTGATAAAGTAAGATGCACAACTTTTTGCATCATTTTATGAACCATGCCAAACCATGAACTCTACATTACACAGAACCTGAAATTTTTAGTCACTGGGAACATGTGCCACAGAAATGTCCCCAGATAGCACTTAGGAGTCCAAATATCCTTCAGATTCAAATGGGGACAGGAAAGCCAGGAAGGCTAAATGTGGGAAACTATAAGGCACTCTCATTTCGTTAAAATGCTCTCCCTGCTTCTTCTGTTAGAATTTGCTTATTTGTTTTTGGGGGTAGATGGAAATACTTTTAAGCATCCACACCAGGACTCTATAAGCATTTGGGTATTAAAAATTTAAACCTTACTCATGCTATATTTCATGATTTTAACATACTAATCTAGATCTTAGGAAGGCCAAAAAAAGAAAATTAAAAGAGTAAGCAACCATGAGCTGTAGTATGAAATCTGATGCTTTTCCCATCAGGCAAACTACGAGATTACAGAGTTTATTCAAAAGCAATAAAATTGAACTCTCCTTACAGGTTGTGGAAATAACTGTTTCTGGAACACCCAAGCAAGCCAAATCTACCTGGTTGGCCACTGGCCAGAGTTCCGTATGCTGTTTCTTCAAATGAACATCTACAAAAGTTCTTTTTTTAAAAACACAGACATCAGCTCTAAAGTTTGGGACCGTGTAGGATAACTACATGTATTCACAAAAGACAAGATCATAAAGTGATTACACTTAAGGTAGAAATAAATTTTAGCTAGGATAAGATGAATATGTAGATTAAGATAATTAAAGAGACTGATGAATTGGAGCAGCTGCAAGACAAGCTTTAGAACTCCCTCGTTCTTTTATCTTTCCTTTCTTCAGTAAGAACTCTCACTCCGTTTCCATAAGCTAGTTGAAAGATTAGAGGCCACTGGAAAAAATGGCAGAGTAGAATATAAATCTTAGTCTTCTGATTCAACAGGCCTTTTCTTTTTCATAAGTTTTCTATGATAACTGTGATCAGATGTGTTTTATGGAATGGTGGTGGAGAATTCCGTAAGAGCTCTAAATGATTTTGTTCTCTAAATATCTCATGTACAAGACTGTAGATTGCAACTGCATGTAACTTAGCCAAACTCTAAGATATAAATCAAATAAAACTCACATAATTATATTAGCCTGCTGCAGTAGGTTCGTATGCCTAGAGCTATGTTTTTATTTTTTTAATAAAGATCAATTCAAACTATGAAAAAGTTACCACAAGATCAAATAATCAACTTTCAGTTTTTCAAAACCAGGAGAGAAAATGGCAAGAGATCTAGATCCTTGGCCTTATTCATTAAGAATTTTATCCCAGTTCTAATAGGAAGACCTTTTCCCATGTACATTTTTATTAAAGTTTTTACTTTAAAGCTATCATACAATCATTTTATGACTAAATACACACACATACACTATATTTACTTCAAGTCATTGCTGTAGCAAATTACCACAAACCTAGGGGGTTAAAACAGCATGGATTTAGTCTTCTGTAGCCTTACGTGGCAGTAGTCAAAAGTGGGTAGATAAAGCTAAGTTTAGATAAAGCTAAGAGATCCTGGATAGGAACACACTTCCTTAAATTTTTCCAACTTTTAGGGTCTGCTCGCACTCCTTAGCTCACGCCTCTTTTCTGCAAGCTCAAAGTCAGTAATGTAGCATCGCCTATCTTCTCTAACTTCCTGCTTCCTTTTTGTGAGGACTCTTGTGATTGGAGCATCCGGCTAACCTCCCCGTTTTAAGATGTGTGACCTTACCACATCTGTCAGGTTATTCTTGCCATGGTAGGTAACATATTCATGAGTTCTGGAAATCAGAACATGGACATGTTTCAGGAGCCACTGTCTGCCTTCCACGGAGCATCTGGGCTAAATGTTTTCATCCTCTGTGGTAAATGTAAGGTTCACAGGAAATAAACACAAATGCTTAGGGATCCATGCTTCTAAATTCTTTTTTCTAACTTTTTTAGCTCTAGTGAAGAAACTACATCCCACAAGCCTACAGATGCTTGTGAAATAAAACTTTATTGGAACACAAGATTCATTCATTCATGTATTGCTTCTGTTCACTTTCAAATTAAAATGTCAACTGTAAACTGTTGCAACACAAACTGTGTAGTTCACAAAGTCTATAATTATCACAAGGTTTTTCAGAAAAAAAGTTCTCTGAAAAGTAATCATGAGCTACGTTTTCAATTGTTAGGACTGAATTTCATTTGCAAAATCTCTAATTTATGTTGAATAATTCAGTAAAATGATGACCTTCATTACTTATTATCATCATGATGATTGCTATTCGCATATCATGTACCAGTTTTTACCAGCATTTAGTAAAGTACTAGGAAAAGCATTTTATATGCAAGTTCACTTTATATACAAGCAAAATCCAAGAGTAAACATTATCTCCAATTTCCGCTGATGGAGTCTGGGTCTTAAAAGGATGAATATCTTTCTTGAGACAGTACAGATAGTAAGTGGGAGTGTTAGGATATAGATTTATTTTGTTCAATTCAAAATATTTGTTCTTTATTCCTCCATAACTCCCTATTGTACATTTTTAACTTAATTGTTATAGTTTTGTCTTACAAATATTATTTTCCACTTAGTTCACTGTACATTTAAATTACCAGCTCTGCAGCCACACTTAACAATTACATGTTTTTTTCTGCTCAGATGCAAAATGCTATAGTGAAAAATAAGATAAAATACAGATACATGAATGATTGGATTTAAAGGCATTTGGATTCTGGAGCTTTATAAACTTGCTAGATCACTTAAACTCTCTGTGAGACTGCGTCCTAACTGATAGTATCATTTCTGACACAAATTGAGATAATCTTCGTGATGCCACTTTGGAACCACTAGGTGCTGTATACACAGTAGTTTCTAACATTGCTTAGCACAGGTAGTGTTGTGCAGCATAAGATGTGTGCTGTCAAGCTACACGGGACATTTTGGTAAGCACTTTCAGGAAATGAAAAAATCTGAAGTAATTTCTTATTTGCAGTATTATATACAAGGGTGTCCATTTTACAGAAGCTTAAAGGACAGTCCCAGCTCCTCCAGATTTCATTTCTCTAGTTTCCTGTAGTTACATGAAAACAGAATTTCAGAGATTTACAAAGATCAGAGCATATATCAGTTAAGGGATGTGAAGGAATCCAAAAAATTTCTCCAGAATAAAAATACTCATGTATAAATATAATTGTGCTCCTCAGTTTTCATAGTTAGTTTTATAATAGAAAAGTCACTGATTTAAGAATAAAAATTAAGGAATATGTTTATTATATAGTGTTGATACAATGTAATTCATTATTATGTGCACATTACTATTTTATATTGCTAAACATTGTTTGCACTGACATTAATGAAAACCCCTTTAAACATTTCCTATTTTTATATTAAATGGTTGTGTTAGGTTTCCATTGCTGTGACAAAATATCTGACAGCAATAATTTGAAAGAGGAAAGATTTATTTTGGCTTATGGTTTCAGAGGTTGCAGTTCATGGTCTATTGTCTCTATGATTTTGAGCCTGCAGCAAGGCAGAGCATCATGGCAGGAACCTCGGGACTGAAACAAAGTGGCTCACCTTGTGGTGGACAGGAGGCACAAAGAAAGCAAGGAAGGGGTGAGGGACATTATATACAATCATAAAAGAAATTAATGGTATTATAATATCCAAAGGCTTAAACATATGTAAGTCTAAAACATTGACCTCTGGTGGTTCAATTGTCATATTTTGTTCCAATAATAAACACTAGATATGAATATTCTTACTATGAACTGACAATATTCATAGTAACTAAACAGCGTACACAAAACTACTCTCTCTCTCAAACAGTGGCCTGAATTTTATTGTAATTTCTGACATCTAAACTGCAGATCATCTAAATAAGTTTGAGATTATAATGTTATAAATAAACCAAATCAAGATAAAAGTAGGATCAGACATATATAGGCAAATAACCTACTGCATATGTCACTCAACAAACTTTATGTTAAAATAAAATAAAAAATTTTGGATAAGAAATCATAGCAAAGCTCTCAAAATTCACAACCTAGATTAGTTTTATTAAAATTCTTCTAAAATTATTAGGAAAACCTTTTTTTTTCCAACTGCATTAGTCAGCTGCATTGCTGGCGAGAATGCAGCCCCTGTATTGCAGCCTGCACAGTTTGGAGAAGTATCTTCTCAATCAGGACCTTGGACAGGACTAGAAAGCTGTGTCCTGCTATGGGCAGTCATGTCAGCAGCTAACATCCTACACAAAGTGACTGAAATGACCTTGCCTGCCTGGAGAATTACTTATAAATACAACAAATGGAAGAACTCCATACTAGAAGTAGTCATCAGTGTATCTCACTTTATTAGAACACAATATTTGAACAAGATCTCTTTATTGGCTAAACCAATACACTGAATGGAATGAAATAAACAAGGAATATTAAAATTAACCTATTGGCTAGAATGACAACCAACTGCCTCAGTTTTGAAACCTCTTTCCTAAAATATTTTTCTTCTTTAATGCAGTCCCTATTAGACTCTGTCATGAGCCTTGCTGGCTACGGTTCCCTCCTGTTTTGAATGAAGCATATTTCAGGAATTGTTTAAAGTTTTATACTCCTCTAGTTTTATTACCTTAAGATATATGACTCACAGACACTGTATTCTAAAGTAAAATGTAGCATTAACTACCAGATGCATATACTACAATGTAAGACTCAAAAGTACAAAAGGTAAATCAAACTATATACTCTTATTTGTAATTTATGGATTAATATGTGGGAGAAATATAAAAGCAGTACCCAACTGCAGAAGGTAATGCACTATGTGAAAATTATATTCTATAAACTACAAGCAGAGTTAATTATAAAACCATATATGCTGTGTTTATGAGGCCTATAGGATTGAGGTAACCAGTAGAATATATTTTGTCGTGTTTAAGTGAATTACCATCCTGTTGTTTTCTTGCTGAATTTCTGACTTTCTACTTCCTCTTCCATTGAGGAACATCATCCCCCATTTGGAAACTTCATTGCTAGTAACAAGTAGAGCTGACTGTTTGCAGCAACTTTAGCAGAGCCTTTTAAAGCATGCAGTAAAAGAACCCAGGAGGAGAACAATGAGGCTCTCATCTCTACTGAGGAAGTCAAGGATTTTTTCAGGATAAGCACAAAGCATGAGAAGAATAATCTTTTCCAGCTGCCTACTGATTTAATTGAGCTCCATAAGTAGACTTCTTCCCTTATGTGCTAGTTGTGAGAGTCACAGCAGTCAGCTAGATAGGAAGAAGAGAGGGCTCACTTACTAATTTAATCCGGTGGCCGGGAGTGGCACTGATCTCCCACGTGCACTCCTTCCTGCTCGGGTACTTGTCTGGCCAGTTGGGACTGGTGATGTGGCCGCTTGCGCTGTGGATCTTCTGTGCACACTCCGCTGTGCCAATAACGATAATATCAGTTAGTGCGGGAATCTAGCCCATGATTGGGCCAGAAAACAAGCAGCCTATTTGCCCACTGCTCTGTTGAGAGTGGTTCCTGAATGCTCGCTAATCATCTCTCCCATCTCTGCTATCAGAGTCATCTGTGTTGGAAAATATGTTGCTGAGTGTAATCAGGCAATGTTTGTTGTCTGACTCACTGGAAATTCAATGTTTACTACAAATCAAATAAATGCCTAGAAAGAAAATGAACTATTTTAAACTGTTGGATCCATGAGCTCAAAATGTGATACAGCAACATATTTTGGCAATCAAGAATATCAGCGCTGGTATGGGAAAAATATGAAGTGTATTGCCATCAACAGAAATTAATCGACCGTGTAATTTTAATTATTTTTTTCCTATTAATAGAAAAATAATTTACAGCATATTAACAGCATTAAAGCATTTTATAAATCCTGCATTTATATTTGCTCTCTCTCTCTTACTTACACATATACTTAAATACCTAAGCTATGAGTTTACCTGCTAAAGTACATTAACCCCAGTTTCATTAAGCATGTCTATCATCTTTACCTAGGAAGTCAAGGATTTGTTTACTACAAGTAGAAAAGCATGTGAAGAAAATCTTCTAACAAAGTAATAAGAGGAAAATTAGGTGCACAGATGCTAGCCTTGGAGATAACTTCTAAATAAACTTCAAAGAATATCTCATTCAGTCAGCATAATTTTGTCTATGTTTTTCACAACTTATGTCCTCTTAGATGAGACATACTAATAAGGAATTCCAAAAATATTTGTGATGAGCAGATCATTTTCACTCTAATTGATGAAGCTATACACTATAAATCTTGGTTCTGATTGGAATTATTTGCTATGCCTGGTGTATTCCATTCTAAAACACAAATCATTTTCTTAAAACTTCCAAAAAATCTACTTGGGAAAATTCTTTACTCTCTGAACAATGCACCTGTTACACTACAGGGCTGCACATCAGGCACTGCCCCCAACACTAAGCAATGTAAATTCTGTTCCAGCTGTTGCCCCTGTTTCATTCCTTATTACTAAGCCTTCACCT